TTCCTCCTGTCTCGTCTCCCAGGGCACAGGAATTACAGCCATGTGCCAAAGCCTGACTTCTAATTTTTTTTAAAGGCACAACATTTCTAGTTAACCATTGTTAGTTTTCTATATCTATTTAAAACCAGTAAAAATAACATATTTTGTGTTTATTTGTGCTCTCAAATTAATATTTCTCACTAATTTAAAAATGAGTTGTCTAAAGAGCAAAGACTGGGTACAAGTATTTTATTTTATATTCTTAAAAATCAAGACTATCAAATAGCTTTTGAAAAGCAGTAACATATTGTGTAGTACTTAACTAGAAGAGCTGACTTGTTTTCGATTTTGCCAAAGCACCTGTCTAGCATTCTTTCTTTTTTTTTTGTCTTTTTCGTTTTTATCAGTACCAGGGATCGAACTCACGACTGCCTGCTTGCAAGGCAGGCGCTTATGCCGCTGAGCTAAATCCCCATAGCATTCTTTCAAGAACCATGACAAGGCAAATCAATAGCTACTTAAGTCTTTCTATATCTTTGGACTTTTTCTTAGTTATTATACTTTATCTGCTTTCCAGGGAACAGGATGAAGTATTTCTCAGTAGTATAATTTTAAACATCTGTTGAAAGATATTTAAAGATTCCTACTAATTTTGTTTGTTTTTTGGTACCAGGGATTGAACTCGTGACCTGGCACTTGCCAGGCAGGTGCTTATGCTCCTGAGCTAAACCCCTGGCCCAAGATTCCTACTAATTTTGAAAAATCTCTAAGAAAATACATTTAACTTATTTTATTTAAAAATACAGTAATGGACTATTTCAAGACCATTTCAAACTTAGCATTTTAAAAAATAAGCAAGTGAACAAAGAAAAGTTTATTCACTAACATAGAGCAATGATTTCACCATAAAAGAGGGATAATGAGAAGAGAAAGAAGGAGGGAAAGTAAGATCCTGACCATGAGCTTTCTGAGGAATTCTGTTCCTGCTCTGGCTGTTCGCCACTACTAGCTACAGACTATGGAGCAAAATAAGCATCTGTAAAATGAGTTAGACAGTAGACTGAAATCCAGACAAAAGGCAGGAAAACCAGGAGGCATGCTCCTGATAATATCTGCCTGCTTCCCTGTAGCACTCCTGAGGCCTTATCAAAGAGCTGAAAAATGTGACTAACACACAGTATCAGTGGTAGTATTTTCAGTGCCAATTACTGCAAGTCAAATTTGATTTCATGCCACCACTTGTAGGTGACTATAAGTATACGCTACAAAAAATTTGCCTGAGCATACAAAGGGCAATAAGATCACAGGAAAGAACACTGACTTCATTTTCTTTCACAATTATTTTGTAGCTAATTAAAAAAACTAGTGCTCTATGCTAATCTATTTTTATTCTTAACTCTGAAGCTTATTTTAGTACTTTTATGACTAACAGAGGAGTTTCAAAAGCAATTTGTTGCAATAAAATTTTGACCATCACATAAAATTAAATTGCCAGGGGCAAGCCAGTAAATCATTAATAAAATTACTGTAAACTTTTTTTAATGTTGGGAAAAGTACAATTAAATCTACAGCTGGGATTTTACTTATTTAAAAATAAGTCTTCTTTATATTTTCCCAGACATAAGGCTTTTTCTAAGTCATATTGGCAAATAATTATCTTTTCATGTCTAAATAAATTCTAAACCAGTTCATCTGTTAAATCAATACAAGGAAGTGCTTTTGTATTGTCTGGCTTTGTTACAACTTTTTTCAAAGCTGCTAAATACAGTTAAGAATTCAGGGTTTTTTTGTTTTGTTTTTTGGGTACTAGGAATTGAAGTCAGGGTCTCCTGCTCCCCAGTCAGGTGCAGTGCCACTGAGATACCTCCCTGGGCCCAATAATTCAGATTTAAAGCACAGCTATCTCTAGAATTTTTAAAAGCATCTGAGCTGAATTTTGGGGAAATTAATTAACATACTATCATATAGCATTTTTATCTAAACATTAAGTCTGTCCAAATATCTACTTTGCTTTCATTGACAAAGTTAAAAAAAAAAAAAAACACTGATTCCCCATCAAAAATTTTACAGAAAAATAAAGACAGAAAGGAAATACAGGATGCAGAAGATAAAGAATTTACTTTGAAAGTAAATGTTAACAATAGTGTTTCAAACTTTCAGGGGAATGAAGGAAAAAGGAAGAGTATAAGTAAATTAAGGAAAAAAATAAAAAGAATACTGGTATAGTTAGGGGGTGGAAAGCAGAAGAAAGATATTTACAAAGAACCAATGAAAGCCTTAGAAACAACAAGGAGTAGAAACTAGTTTGGACACAAGTAAGCCACCGATATGATGGTATACTTAAAAAAAAAAAAAATCGTACAACACAGAGAAGATACCTAAAGAGAAACTTGACTGGAGAAAAAAAAAAACCACCACCAGATAAGGCTTATAGATATGCGAGAACTATCAGGAATAGCTGGCATTCCTAAAGTAAGGAAAATTTTTAAAAATCCAAGAATTTTGAGACAAGGTTTTGCTACGTAGTCCAGGTTGGCCTCAAGCCCTCAATCATTTTGCCTTAGCCTCCTGAGTGCTGGGATTAAAGATGTGCACCACAACATCTGGCTTAAAAGACTCTGAAAACAGAGGAAAGACTGTTAATTGCAGCTCACTATGCTTCAGGGGAAAAATCGTAGAAAATTAATTTGTACACTAAGATACACCGCATTCTGTTGAAATGACTGGTCTGAAAGACAAATCGGCTCTAACAAGCAATCAGGAAGCAGCAGCAAGTCACCTAGAAGAGGAAACTTACCAGGCAGGCCCCATAGTTCTCTACAGCAATTAACAAAGGATTAAATATGAGGAAGTTGGGCTTGGTGGTAATATGCCTAGAGTTCCAACTACTTAGGAGGCTGAGACAGGAGGACTACTTACGTCCAAGAGTTTGAGGCCAACCCAGGCATAATAGCATGACCCTATCTCAAAACAATAACAAAAACCTAAACTGATCTTGCGAGTGTCTTCCCCACTTCATGAAAACGATTTAATGTTCTTCCGAAAAAACAGGAAAACAAAAAAGAAGCATCTAAAAAATAAAGCGATGAGGATTATAATATGTAATAAAAAGTCGAATTCTGTGAATAAAAGATTTCATAGTAATGGCTTAGGGAAACTGTGTAGTCATTTGAAAAAAAACAGAGCAAGACCTTGCTCATCCCCAATGACAAAATTATTCCTGATGGAGCAAACATTTAAACTTTGAAAGAAAATAGTTGGAAGAAATTACATTTCAATTTTGTATAACAATTTAGTAGAAAAGCATAAGTATGGGAAACAAAGGAGAAAAAAAGAACTGTGAGGGAAAAATAATACTTCCACATGGTTAAGAAAGGTATCCCCAGCATAGCGTGATAACAGAAAACAAACGGGAAAAACTAAAATATAATGAGTTGCTAATGTCAAAGTGCTAGCAACATCAATAACAAAAGATGGGAAGCGAAACATACGATAGGCAATCAATGGAAAGTAAAAGTGGCTAAATATAATACTCAGATCACATCACCAACGTTTACTGAACATCTATGTTTTCTAAGTGACCCTTAATATAAAATCAGTAGCTTTTTACAAAACAAGGGAGACCGGCATGGTGGCATGCATCTGTAATCCTAGCACTCGGGAGGCTGAGGCAGGAGGAGCTCTGTAAGTTCAAGGATTCCCTGCACTAGAGTGAATTTAAGGCTAGCCTAGGCTACACAGCAACAACCTGTTTCAAAAAACCAAAAAGTTAGAAGTTTTAGCCTTTTAAAAGGTCTTAAATTTAAGATGCTAGCATTTAATACTATTATGTTAAAACATATGCATGACAGTTTTCTGTTTTCACTGTATAGTCTTTGTTAATTTCAACACATGGCTTACAAAGAAATCAGACTCATGGGATTTTTAAAATATAGTCAATAACTCATTATATGAATTATAGTTATCTATATGCTCAAGTCAAATAAAGGAAAAAAACTCTTGTAACAAGCCCAGTGCACTCAATGCAGACAGAAAAGGGATACATATCTTTGTTTCCTCTAGACTAAAACTGTTCCTTGATCAGACTTGAATATTTGCTCAAATAACTCCTCTAAGAGAAATAAATATTTGTATAGTTCTCATATTTTCTTATTATTTGTGTCAGGGATATTCTGAAATTCATTCTATACTTATGAAGTATACCTAATATGAGGACTCTACAACAGTATAATTTCAAATATTGCATAAATTTTAAAATAATCCCAGCATATATGCTACCTCAGTAATATCATCTCTCTAATGAATTACACATAAAATGACCCAAAGATTATATCTGAAGTAAAAAAAAATTTAACTGTTCAAATTAAGAAGCTGACATAATTATGGTCACACATTACCCACAATGAACCTACAAATGAACAGATCACCAAATTATTCACCCACCTGGCCAAAAATTACTACTGCTTTCATTAAAACCTTCTAGGAAACCAAAATCATGAAACTGATTAAGTTTTATACAGTTTCATTTTCAAAATGAATTAGTGTGTTTTGAAACAGTCTTCTGACACACATTAAGTACTAACAATATAACCATTAAGCTAAGATCAGAATTACCAAAATTAAATCAACTGGTCCAGAACAGCTGACAAAATATCATTATCCTGAATATTATGTGAGTATTCCCCCACCAAAAGCTCTAAATACTTTCCTACTCAACTTTTCATAATAATTAATCTAAAGTTAAAACATTGTAATTGTAAATTACTTAAGTTGTCAGTAATATATCTTCTAATTTTTCATACATACATTTCAAATTTTATTTAGCAAAACTGTCACATCAAACTCGCCTTTAATTGCCTTCAGTGGAATTTAGCATATCACAGTGCAGATATTCTACCAATTTGCCAAAACATAGAAAAACTTATTTTGGAAGAAAGCAAACAAGGAAAGTAATGTAATGTTTTTCAATCCTGTATTTAAGAAAGTTGTTCCAAAATTATCTTAAAGATTGTAATACATACCAGGCTCCAACTTGATAATTTTTACTGCTGCCAACTCTCCTGTGTGTATATTTCTAGCCTAAAAGTAAAAACAAAAACAAAAAATTAAAATAGTTTGTTAATTACATAAACATTACCTGTCACTATTACTTATCAACCATGCTTTTTTTTTTTTTTTTGTCTTTTTGAGACAGGGTCTCGCTATGCAGTTCAGGCTGGTCTTGAGCTCACTTTATAGCCTAGGCTGGTCTCCAACTCCCAACGATCCTCCTGCCTCAGCCTCCCGAGTGCTGGGATGACAGGCATGAGCCACCACACCCAGCTCAACCATGCTTCTAATAAAATTGAAAACCAAAATCTTTTTCTCCAATGAAATTAGTACATTTTCAATAATGAAACATATAGAAAATACATAAATTATTTTTAAAAATTATCTTAGTTCTACCAGTCAAAAGTAGTTGCTACTCTAAAGTTTGATATATTGCCTACAAGTCTTTACATTTGAGTTAATTTTTAGAGCAATTAAAAAACTCAGAATAAATTCTGGTGTTATATTCTACAGTAGACTATAGATAACTGTGTATTATATACTTCAAAAAATTTAGAAAGATTTTGAAATGTAACCATCATCAACAAATCAAGTTTCAAGAGATACACATTTATCTTGATTTGAACATTATACAATAAATGCATTTATCAAAACATCATATGAACTTGAAAAATACGTAATTTCTATTTTTCAATACAAAAATAAATGAAGTTTCCATATAATAACCAAACCAAAAACACCATGGTTTTCATTTATGATATAAACATAATTATACAGCATTCAAGCAAAATAAAAAACCAAGTCATCTATATCTAACTACCCAGAAAAGACAATTAACTTCTTTTTGGTGGGGGGGGGCTTTTTGAGACAGAGTCTTGGTATGTAGTTCAGGCTGGCCTTGAACTCAAGACAATTCTCTTAGCTCAGCCTAGGGTTATAAAATCCACTGGAAGACAAATACTATAATAATGACAGTAATTATGTTTGTAATTCATTAGTGTACAGTACTTCACACATATTATTTAATTCAGTTTATTTATACACAAAAATTCATCTCAGTAAAATTAAATGACTTGACCAAGGTCAGTTAGCTGGCAGGAGCAAGAGTCAGATTTAGAATCCAAGAACTGTAATTATGAGGACAAGATTTCATTGCTCCTTTTCATAATATGGGAGTCTTTGTTTCCCAGCAGTTACTCAGAATGTGAACTGTTACACATATAAAATTTTAAAGGAATAATCTTAAGATGAATTCAACCCAAGGAAAAATCGTATGGATCATTTTAAATATTAAATAGTATTATTAAAATATTTTAAGTTACTTTAAAAACTAGCAGCTTTCCAATATTATAGTATCACATGACTACACTAATTAAATTCTTTTAACAATCTTACATCTTAATCCAGTAAATCTAGTTACTTCTATACCTAAACATCAGTGCATTTTCTAGCATTCCCTTTTTCTCTATCACCAATTTCATCCAAATCCTATAAAACAAAATCTATGAATATAGAGAATGTGTATATGGGGAAGAAAGATTAAGTGCAAAGGCCTCGCACAGTATAAGGCAGTGATAGCAAATTTTTTATGCTTTCAGTGATACAAAGAGTCCTCTGTAGCACCATGATATAGGTTTACCACCGCTGGTGTAACACACACACACTCAACGTGATAGTTAAAGCTTTCAGTGTTAGGAATACAATGCTTAACTCAAACACAGTGATTAAAGCTAATATATTTCCAACCACAGGATATCTTTCAAAAATCCTGATTTCTGAGCAAAACCAGCAGCAAGGCAATGTAATTTGCCAGTCACTGGAAACCAAAAGAGAATATGAGTACATACATCCCCGTTACAGATCATTAAACAGGTCCGACAACACGGGAAGATCTAATGTGCTTCTCTGAGACCATGGAAAACGTAATTCTGGTTTTAGTCACATTAATGAGAATTACAAATTGGGTTGATAGTGTGAATACAGTCCTCATTCTGAAACATTCTCCCTCTTCTCCCTCCATCCCTTTGCCTTGGCCTACATGGCCTTTTAGCTTTCACCTGTTCAAGGAAATCTTGTCTGATGTCTGTGGGCTGAATTAAGTATACTGCCTTGTTTGTTGAAGGCAAAATCCTGTGAGAAAGTCTATACCTCTTGGTAGATGCACCACACATTTGTGGAACAGACAATGACTACAGGAAGGTCATTTTTCTCTTTACTTCAAAAATAATAAAATATTTAAATCCTCTATAACTAGGAAATGCTATAAAACTGACAGTACACTACTATAAGTGATCTTACTTCTTCCCACTTACATTTTGAATACTATGAGTTAGAGCACTTTAGAGAAAGATAATTATAAAAAATTAAAACCGGGTAATAACTGAATTAAAATTCTCTTCTAATCTCATCTCCCTGTGGTAACTACTGTTAACAATTTATAATACTCTGTCACCCACCCTCCCTCCTTCCCTCCCTTTCTTTAGGTTGACCCTTATTTTTTTATTTATTTATTTTTCTTTTAGTACTGGGGATCAACCTTGCACTTACCAGGCAAGTGTTTGAGCTACTGAGCTAAATCCCCAGCCCCGGGCTTGACTCCTAAGAGCACATATGTACAAAACAAAACACTGACACCATGTCAGGGTCTAACAAGGGTTAAAAAATATAGTCTAGCAATCTCCATTCTAGCCATGTACTTAATTAACTTCAAAGCTTCTATTGACACAATAACCTGCACACAAGTATTTATAGTTAGTCTTTACTTATTTATTCATTTAGGTTTTTTTGGTTGAACTAATGACCTCACACTTGCCAGGCAAGAACTGTGCTGCTGACCTAGTTAGTCTTTATTTATAACTGCTGCAAAGGGAGACAACTCTAGTGATTCCCCTTGAATGCAAAACAATTACTGCATCTCTGATTATTTGAAGACTTATTTTATTATACTGATATGTAGAGAGATGGCTATGGTATTTCTTTCTCTCTTCAATTGGCTCTAAGCATTGCAAATAAGGCTAGCTGAGGTGCTGGTATGTAATCTCTAATGCCAACAGATAGTCCTCTCTCCTCCACAGTGTTCTCCATGTAAAGGATATGAACACAGCTAATAGCTCTGGAATGTCAACTGGATAGGAGTCTCAAAGTAAAAAGCATATGACTCTCCAGGGCACAAGAGTTTACATATCAAAAACTAAAGTTACAGCCTCCCAAAACAATTCAGTTGCTATCTTAGATTATGTGAATTGATCCTTCTACATATCTTTATCTCTGCAATTTACAGAGATGCTTTTCTTCCACCTGGCCAGCCAGCTCAGGTTACTCACGGAGTTCCTGCCTTCTTCACTGTCACTCATCCTTGAGCCACCCCCCTTCCTCACAAGATAATAATTTCAGGGAGAGGCCTAGGATCAGGGCCTTTGTCTGCACATCCTCACGTGGACTGGACTGAGGACCCCTCAGCTGCTGTTAACCTGAAACATGTCTTGGAGTCTTTACTGTCGTCATGGGTTGCATTGATGATGGTAGATTGGAATTAACTTGTTGGGATTCCAATAATATATCAATGAGATTACAAATAAAACTTTTTGGATTGTGAGGAAAACTAAAAAGAGAATTACAATACTTAGATGACTAAATACAACATTTGGGATTACAACAGAAGTAATTCTATATCCTTCAATAGATAAATGAATAAACTGTGGCACATTTGTAGAATGGAACATTATCGTTAATAAAAAGAAATGAGTCATCAAGTCATGAAAAGATAGGAAAGGAATGTTACAGGCATATTGCAAAGTGAAAGAAGTCAGTCCAAAAAGGGTACATACTATGAGTCCACCTCTATGACAATCTGGAAAAGGTAAAACTGTAGAGCTGGTACAAAAAAACAATGGTTGCCAGAGGTTCAGGAGAATGGAGATGAGGAAGACAAGGTGAAGCGCAGAGTATTCTACATTCAGACAGAACAATCAGGCAGTAAATATTCTACAGGAAACTGTGATGGTGGATGTATTTGTCAAAACCAACAGAATGTAAAACACAAAGCACAAACTTTAGGGTACAAACTCTATAGAGAAGATCAATACTGGTTTGGTAATTGTAACAGATGTGCCACACTAATGAGAAGTGTTAATGAAAGGGAAAACTCTGTATAGTTTAGGGGCTGGGTAAATGTAAATCTATGTACTATCTGTTCATTTATTCTGTAAACCTAAAACTGCACTAGAAAATTTCTATTAATTTTTTTAAATGACAAAGTTATTTGAAAGGAATATATACATTTTCAGGTACATTTTGGAGTAATATTTAGCATTAGACTAAAAATAAATATACTGTACTTCAACTTAACAGAATCAAAATGAAACATAAGGACTACGGACAGCTTAATGTTTTTCAAAGGGGCTTAGAAAAAAATCAGATTAGAGAACTTTCATGACAACCATAGAGTCACATGAAATAAAGATGGTGTTTTATGTAAAAGGCCATATGTAATCATAGAAATAAGGAGAATATAAATATACAACTTGCACTGATAGGAATAAATATTTAAATGTCAGTCTACATTTTGAAGACATTTCTGTTCTCTTCAAATGAAGAACTGATGGGGAAATGTTTGTACTCTGTAATTTTCCAGCTGGATTTTTAAAACAGAAAGCAGTACCAGGCTCTTTTATAATGAAAGGCAAAGAGGCTTTCAGGAAAAAAGACCTTCCAAACAGAGACTTTACAGATTCAATTCAATTCAAGAGATCACTGACAAACTCAACTATACAATTTCACAATACTGAAAAAGAATTTTGAATTTTGGGTATCAGTTTTTGAAATCTAATGTTTCTCTCCAACAAGTTAAATGTTATGCAGTAAATGAGTCTTTATTTTTGATTTTAACATATAAGAACCTAAGCATCCTGCATTTTGTTTATAAAAGGAACTAACTGAAGTGCCACAGCACATTATGAAAAGGATCTAACTGCATTTCTGAATCCTATTCACTTAGTAGGTTATTGGTATACATTAATAGTAAGACTTGA